CTAGAGCATCTGTCTGCGCTCCCAAAGAGCGTCTCACGGCTCCAAAAACCACAGCGCTCATTACATTTCATCCTCTAATGTGCAACTCATTTATTATCGAAGTAAAAGACTCGCGCAGCTTCTCTTCCTGTGCAAAACTACATTTTTTTCTGTCTGATATTTGTCTAATTCAGTTTAGTTTTGATTTTGTTCTTTTTAAGTCATTGGATGGAAACGCAGCTACTTTTCCTTGTATCACTCTATATTTGACCTCCTCTGTCTCTCCACCACAGGATTTCATCTTCTTCTGTGATGCCGTGGCCTCCTGGGTCAATCCTAAAGATGACCTGAGGGACATGTTCTACAAGGTCAGACGCGTGTGTGGAGCTACAGTGTCTTTATAGTGGTGAAATGTAAGAAGATTCGTGATGTTAAATGTGTTTGTGGTTATGTTTGTGTAGATCCTCCACGGTTTTAAGGATCAGGTTGGCGAGGAGAACTGGCAGCAGTTCTCGGAGCAGTTTCCACCCATCCTGAAGGAACGCCTCTCTGCATGCTATGGCGTGTAGCCCCACCCTCGCGTCACACGCAGCACATGCTGTCAGGTTAGTGTTGCTTACTAAATTGAGCTGGAAAAAACAATCGGTTGCTGTAGTCGTTTCTGCTGCGGTGTATATTAGATAATGTAGCAGTTACACATTCCCCCGATGCTTATTGGCCAGACAGAATCTGCAATTTTTGCTATTTCTTGACAGAATTTTGTAATTTTATCAAATTGATAATTATTCATAAAATTATTTGACTTTTATGCCTAATGAAACAAGAGGAATTAGACTAAAGCTTTTTTGACTGATTATTGGTTTGACCGATATATGTTTTCTATTTAACATCCATCAGGTCTACGTTTTTTCTCAATATTCAGTGTAACTGGTTATATAAATTGACAATTGAAAATTAAATACAAGCAATTTTCAATGTCAGTAATCGGTCACACAGAATATTGAGGAAAAGAATATAATCGACGCATGTTAAAATTTAAATATATCAAACCGATAATGTAAAAAAGAAACTTGAGTCTACTATTATTACATAAGTAATTTTAAAAAAATATATAGATTAAACCGATAATCAGTAAAAAAGGAACTTTAGTCTACTTTTGTCTTATTTCCTAGGTTATTTTCAATTAAAATCATTTGTCAGACTTGTAATATTTAATTAAAATAAAATGGACTGGTGTTAAAATGGAAAATGTAAATCGGTCAAACCGATAATCAGTCAAAAATAAAAGCTTTAGTCTACTTTGCTTTTATTTAATAAAAGTAATTTTTAATTTAAAAAATTTGTCAGACTTCAGAAAGTAGGAATATTCAGAAATTATTTTTGATGAGTCTTTAAATTTTATAATACATCGGTCAAAGTGATAATCATTCCAAAAAAAAAGCTTCAGTCTACTTTTCTCAATTATTTTGAATTTAAGTAATTTGTCAGACTTGTAATATTTAATAAAGTATGAATATTGAGAAAATATAATTGAAGGGTGTTAAAATAATTAAATATATCGGTATAAACCGATAATTAGTCTTAAAAAAGCTTTGGTCAACTTTTCTGAAGTTATTTTAAATTAAAATAATTTGTCAGACATGTAATATTTAATAAAGTGTGGATATTGAGAAAACATAATCGGAATGTGTTAAAATAGTTAAATATATCGGTCAAACCAATAATCAGTCAAAAACAACAACTTAAGTCTAAGTCTTTGCTCTTATTTAATAAAAGTAATTTTAATGTAAATGATGTCAGCCTTCAAATTCATACTTTATTCAGAAAATATAATCAATGAGTGTTAAAATTGTAATATATCGGTCAAACCGATAATCAGTCAAAAACAACAGTCTACCTTTCTCATATTTCGGAAATTGTTTTCTATCTTAAGTAATGATTTCTTAAGTGAAATCATTTGTCAGACTTGTAAAATTGAAAAAAAATTAATGAACATAGAAAAAATATAATCGAAGGTTGTTAAAATAGTTAAATATATCGGTTGTAAACCGCTAATATAAACCGATAATCAGTCAAAGAAACCAAACAAACTTTACTTTTTTCTTATGCATCTTTTTCTTTCCCTTTTGTTCCAGTTGAACCTTTAGGAGGGGGGAACTCATCCATCTGTGTATTGCACTGCCCTGATCGTGGGGGAGAGGGACGCGATTGGCCGCTCCGCCTGACGGACAGATCCCACGCCCTTTGTGTGTCCATGAGGGTGGGTGGGTGGGTGGGAGGGGGGAGGGGACTCCTCTAGTTAACTGCAGAATGCACCCAATCACAGGGAATAAACCTAAAAACGTAGGGAAAGACAAGAGCTAGCGTAACCGAGGGAGAGCGATTAAACTTAAGAAGAGCGGGAGGGAGGTCGTAGGTTAAACGGGAGGGAGGCATAGACAGTTATCTGGGAATAATCGCTAACATAAGATTAAGTTTAGGGAGGGAAGCTAGACAGCAACTGTTATACGACTTTTTTTAATCTCAAGTTAATCCCAGGCATAAGAATCAAAAAGCATTCACACACACTGACCATAGAGACACTTGCACATGAAGTTGCAATAACTACGAGCGGCCTGCTGCGCCAGCGCTGCCGTAGCAATAGCATAATCAGACTTTAACACTGAGACTATCTAGGAAAGACTAGCGTTGTTTTTCTTTTCTTTTTTAAGAAAAAAATAATTACTATTGAGGAAACGAGAACAATCTCTCGGCTTTAAAAAAAAAAGATGGTTAGCGCGCTATCGCGAATTTCTGTTATCGATCGTTAAGTAAGGGAGCATCTATGAATTCACAGTTTTCATCATCATCAGCTTCGTCATTGTCGTCGTTCTGTCCGATTGTCGTCATGATTCTTGCTTGCGTCTCTTATGCCGTAACGTTTATTTTCCGACATTCTCACTTATTTTGCATAGTAAAACTTGTAGCTTTTTCCTGGGCTTGGTCAGTGTTCGCTGTTGAGACTCATCGTAGTTTACAGATTTCAATCACACCGTAGTTGATTCTTGTGATTTATTATTATTTTTCGAGAGAGTGAGAGAGAGTCTCGTCGTGAAGGAGCTGGAATGGAAACTCCACAGTATAACGATCATGATTTACGTTATGTATGTGTTTGGTTGTATGTGTGTGTACGGTAGCTTTGTTGGGAGCTTTTAAGTGTGTTTTGTTGACGTCATTGCCATGTGTTTTTCGTACTTCGCATTTCGTATGTGTGTTAATAGGTTGTTAATTGTTTTAAGGTACCTTACACTTGACTCCTGGACCCCTATTGACCTGTAAACTGTGACCAACGATGTGTGCGCGCGATTATGTGTGTGTGTGTGTGTGTGTGTGTGTGTGTGTGTGTGTGTGTGTGTGTATGAATGTATTTGTACCGATAAATATTGATGCCATATTGATATTTGGTATTTAGTGATTAAATCAGCTTATCCAACAAACTACAACTATATCAAATATAGTTTTACGATATTAAGGTTTTTTTTTTTTTTTTTAAGTTTTGCTGCTATTGCTAATTTTGGTTACTTTGATATATAGTATCGAATTCACAACATTTAAATCGGAGCAAAATGCGTAATTTCAATTGGATTATCGCTTTTTGTCATGCACTTTTTTGTTTTGTTGTTGTTTTGCTATTTTTATTATTTTTTGTAAGGACTTTGCTGGTAAATTTACTGATAAAACTGTTGGATTCATCATGCGTCTTGTTTTATTTTCCTCGTGACAAATATTTGTTGGTTGAAAGATGTGAAATGAGAGCGAAACTGAAAGCAAAAACAGGAAGTGACGAGGACGGCGAGGCGGAGAACAATTGCTGCGTGTGGAAATCTGCACTGAGACTCTGAAAGACAAAAACAAAAAAAAACAATCACACCTTTCTCTCTTTACCTTGCCAGGAAAAATAAAATGATTTTTTACCAAGCTGAAGAAGTGCTTTTATTGTATTTTGTGAATTTTTAAACTAAGTTGTCATGTCAAACTGTAAACGTTGACTGTTGTTGCATTTTAGTTATGCTAGTGCAGTGGTTTCCAACCTGGGGTCTGATAAGTGTTGTTGAAAAAAATTATTTTTAAGTACCAAAAAAAAGTATGCTTAAAATTCCAACATAATGGTAAAAATGTCTTGTATAAATAATTATTTAAATTTTGCTCAGTCTCGTAACGTGCTTGTCAACGTGTCATAAAGGCAAAATCCAAACAAAAATGGCAGAGAAACGTAAATGCAGTGATTCTTCAGAGGCGAAGAAAAAGATTTGACAATATATCAAAACCTACCTAAATTTAGGTTTTACTGAAGGCAGGTTTCGTCCAGAATGTCATTTGTGGTGAAAAAGAGACAGCATGAATACAAGCAAAATGAACAGACACCAGGAAATGAAGCATTCAGAGACAAAAAGATCAGGAATTCTTCGAGAGAAAAAAAAAAAGATGGCTCTGTCAAAAAGATTTTTTTTGAAGCTTTGTTTGACTATTCGGTGTGGATTGCCACGGGAAAAAAGCTGCATAATATTGGAGAGGAGCTAATCAAACCCTCCTGCATTAAAATAGTGGCGGAAATGTGTGGCCCACACGCAGCTGAAAAAGTTAAAATGACTCTTCACAATTCTGAAAAAAAATTAAATAGAAGGAAACGTGCACTGTAACAAAAAAATCTAATCTTAGAGTTTATTTCCGGCAGCTGGGGTGCCGGAAAAAAACGTAAAATAATGGCTGCTAAATTACAGAAATTTACTGTAAAATAACAGAGGTTTAATTAAAGAAATTTACATAAAATTTAAATTTAAAAATGTCATTTTTTTTTACGGTAAATTTCTATAATTTAACACAGCTGCCGGAAATAAACCCTAAAATAAGTTGTTGTTGTTTTTCTTTTACAAGTGTGTGTGTGTGTGTGTGTGTGTGTGTGTGTGGAAACAGGAATGTTTACTTTTCTATTTTATTGTATGTAAAGATAAAAAATGACAAAATAGAAAGAAACGTGTGGAAACAGTAATGTTTACTCCTTTGTTTTATTGTATGTAAAGATAAAAATTTGACATGATCTTTAAAGGACCTCAAACAATCAGAAAAACATGCTGTTTTCACAAGAATTAATAATACTAATGATTAAAATTATAGTCTTACCTTTCTGAATAAAATCAGCCGTCACATGTTGATCACAGACTGTTTGTGTTTAAACTGTATTTTATATAATGACACAGCTGTTTCACTCTCCCTGTCTATGTGTGTGTGTGTATGTGTGACAGCAGCAAACATCTCACTGCACAACCTCACACGCTAATAACCCACACACAGGAAACAGACATGCAGTGACAGGAAGTTTGGGTTTAACGCATCAGAGTTTGTTTACAGTCACGTTAACCATATACCCTTACCAGAAATGAGTAACAGAATTTATTCAAATAGCATCAGGAACTCAGTGTGGACATGTTTGCGTGTGTGTGTGTGTGTGTGTGTGTGTGAGATGACTTTTGTTTTTTTACACACAATTCTAAATTTGCATTATATACTGAGAAGAATGTAGACCTAAGTTAAACTAGGTATGTCAGAGTTGTTCATGTTTTAACCAGAGTTTGTCTGTGTGGTGTGTGTTGTGGTGGAGAGGCCTGATAGAGAGAGTGTGTGTGTGTGTGTGTGTGTGTGTGTGTGTGTGTTTGTGGGGTGTGCATTAGTGTCCTGTGTACACTGTGCGAGTGTAGGTGTTGTTAAAGTGAAACCCTGGAGGGCTGAAATTAAACAGAAAAGAGGAAGAAACCACGAGGACTTTGAGAGAAACGCTAGTGGCACGAGGATCAACAATGTGTGTGTGTGTGTGTGTGTGTGTGTGTGTGTGTGTGTGTGTGTGTGTGTGTGTGCTATTAAACTATTAATATCATAAACAAAACACTTGGTTTAACTGTTTAAAATAAATAATTACATTTATCATATATTCGACTATTAAGTTGAAATTGTTCCTAAAATTTAATGGAAATGTTTTCTTTTTAATATATTTCTATACATTTTTACTGACAGGGTCGAACCAAAATTATTTTTAGGATAATCAAGTTACCGTGTAGCACAATTCTATGATTATTGCTATTGCCAATAGTTTAAGTTTTAAGCATGTTAACAAATATCATATTAAATATTCGTAATATTGGTCTCACTTGATAGTTTTACTATCAAGTAAAAGTACAGTACATCAACAGTACATCATTTACTTGCTTAAGTTCACCTGAATCAGACGTAAAATTAACAATTATTTGTATCAGTCGTGTTAATATTAATAATATCCATTCCCAATAATCTCAATAGTTTTACTTATCAATTTTAAGCATAACTTTTTTTTCTGAAATTGTTATTAGGCTAGTTAAATCTCACGTAGTAAAGCATTGAGTTCAATACAGCTTTACGAATCAGTTCAAAATATCAATATTAATATTATTTCCCTATTTTTATAATATTAATCGTGTTAATAAAATAAATTAATAGCCATAATAATATATTATAGGCTATTCTTCTGAATATTTACCTCCTTTTAAAGTTTAACTTGTACACAAAATATTAGTTCACCTTTTACAATTCGTTCGTTTACTTAACATACAGGATATCAGGCTATATTAATCATAATATTAAAGTAAATATTATCATTAATTAAATATTGATTAGGTTGAGTGACGTTTCAGCTTACAGCAGGTGTGAGGCGTTTACTTCAGTTTCCCGCTCAAACAGTTCGCGTTTGGTGGTTAAAATACATGAAAATATCATAAAAGGTGAGAAAACACGACGAAAACGGCATACTATGATCATTGTACAAAGATAAGACTTACTGAAACAGCAGACGAGATCGTTTTTTATATATATAAAACGCTAAAACGACGACTTCGGTTAAGAAATATTCACACGGCTGTTTAAAACAACGCAGTTGCTCTGAGGGGTTACAGAAAGGGATGTGAGACAGTGGCGGTTTCATTTAGCGCCAGTGCAGATCTGATGACGACGGAGAACTGAGAGAGCCAGAGAGACCGTCAGGTTGCACCGTCAGAGTAAGACCACACTTTATTACAACTTCTGTCTAAAATACTTTGTTTATTTCGCTTTATACGTGTGTGAGGGCGAACCTGGCATATGGGAAAATGTTCATACATCATATGAGTGTGACAAGAACAATTTACATACAATAATAACAAACAAAACAGGCTTAAAATGATAATACATGTCTCAGATAAAAATATAAAGACTTTTTTCTGTGATTAGTTGCATTTTTGTATTACTATATGTGTTTAGAATGTATCATATTGTATTAAGCTAATATTATTATTAACTAGATATTTATAGACAAGTGTAGCAAACAATTGAAACCAGTTAGTTTTTGATTTTGAAACATGTTCAGACAGGTTAGTATTGATGTACAACAAGATGATAATGGGAGCCTGCTGAACTATAATATCTGTGAATACTTTGAGTGATAAAATAAACCATTATCTGTATCATTTTAATAAACAAAACCAACATTTCTAAGAAAATGACAAGAAGACAAATAAATAAACATTGCTTTAGTGTGGGAGAAGCTTGCTCCTTCAAAAAATAAACTAAAACAGTTGTTATCTGATTGGATGGAAATCTGTGTAGTGCAAGATGATGTCATCCAAAACTTATCCATTTTCTAGGAAAATAAAGTACATCAATTAACATTTTAAATGTGGCTATGTGCGCTAATAGTGAATTTTGTGAGGTTTTACAAGTTCAATAGTTACTAAATAGGTCATTTAAGGAAACTCTCTATCTGTTAATCTTGAACTCAACTTTCTCTGTGGTTCTTTCTTGCTATCTATCTTTATCATCCAACACAACTTACTGTACATTCTCTGATACTGCTAGATCATGATTTTTTCAGCTCGACATTTAGTCTACATCTTTTTTTCCTTTGCAGTAAAGCTTTCTATTTGACTTTGCTTCTGTTTGTCTTACCGTTTCTGTCTTGTAATCACGTTTTTAAACTATCTCTCAGTCTCCTTCCTCATTTTCTCAATGTGGGAACTGCTGTTTTGTTAGAAAATCTGAGGGAACTTGTGCATTACTGGCTGAAATATCAAAACGACTGGTTATGAAAAACATTTCAGCAGTAAAACCTCAAATTAATCCCAATTAGACACATAAAACGATGCCCATCAAGAACAAACCTCCTGCATTTATGAATAAAACAGACATTTTCTCCCTTTAGTTTAAAAAAGATGCCAAATTTCCCTCATTTCAGGAAGTTGATCAAATCTGGTCTACTTCTTTGGTCTGTGCATGTAGAAGTGAGTTGGCGAACATCCTTCAGAAGTTGCTGAATATCTGCTGTTTCTTGCTCCAGTCCATAGGGGGCGCTCTCTTGTTCGGTCGTTTAGCGCGGGCTTTCTGCTTGGCCTCGGCTGCGGTCAGACTCAGATGTAGGCCGCTTTCCCAGAACGGATCTAGTGGACGCTCCATTGACTTTCCATCATGTTTGGGTTTACGAGCATCATCGCTGGAGTGATGGTCAGAATCTGTAAGCTGCGAAACAATCAACACATTTAATTTAATTTAATTTGCGTATTGTTGTGTTAATTAAAATAGAGCATGCATATTACTAACGTTTTTATTTTAAGAGGGAGAACATGCAAACTGTACACAGAAACGTCAACTGACCCAGCCGAGGCTCAAACCAGCGACCTTCTTGCTGTGAGGCGACAGCACTACCTACTACGTCACTGCGTCGCCATAATCATAATAATATAATAAAATAAATGCAATGTAATAAAATATATTTGATTATTTATATGATTTATTTGACATATATATATATTTTTTAAACTATACAAAATATATTCTGAGTTTATTAGTTTAATTATTGTTGGTGTTATTTATGTAATGAAATAAGTTTTTAATATACTAAATTATTATATTATTATTTTAATCAAATATTAATGTTTTTACTATTATTATTAATTAATAATAATTATTAAAATTATTCTGACTAATAATAAATTAGCATTGATAATGATGATAATAATATAAATTGTAATATAATAATAATATATAATATGTAATATAATAACAATTGTAAAAATTTACTATTATCAACAACAGTTATAATTTAATAATATTAATAATATACTATTATTATATGTGTTTTTTTAATTATACAAAATATATTATGAATTTCTTAGTTTAATTATTGTTGGTATTATTTATGTAATGAAATTAATTTGTGATGTACTAAATTATTAAGATATTATGATTTTAATAAAATATTAATGTTAATATTATTAATAATAAATTAACATGATTAATGCTAAATTAGTAATGATAATAATTATATAAATTGTACTATAATAATATATAATAAAATAAATGTTATATAATAAGAATTGTAATAATTTACTATTCTCAACAACAATTATTATATTATATTATATTATATTATATTATATTACATTA